ATAGATATTTTTTTTTTGTAGAACTGAATCTAATGCCATTTGATGAATATTTTTAGACCAAGTTACCAAAAGATTCTCTACGCTATTCTTATATAACAACCATTCAATTAATCATACTCTTTCAAGCTGCAAACAATTAATAGTTTTATTTTCTATTCTAATACTTTCATTATTTGAAGATAGCGGCAGCTGTATTTGACTATTACTAGATCATCATTAAGAAGTTCTTGAAATATTTGGTAGCTGAAAGTAGGGAGCATTTCAATTTGGATTTTATGTTGATTATATACTTCTAAATTTTGCTTGTTAGGTTTTACAGTTGTTCGATAATCTCTAGAAAAAAAAAAGTTATTTTAAAACTTATTGATAAATTTGTATAAGCAAAAATTACCTTCATTTTAAATTAGCAAGCACACAGCCTGAACCATCAGCTAAACCATAATTCAAGCTTTGTATTTCTGATGTCATTTGTATTATAATTGTTAACTTGTTCATTGCATATCCGTAGGATTGAACCGTATATGTGGAAGAGTCACCAGCCATTTCTCTAATTGATCCGAATAAACCTTCAAGCATATCTTGAGATAGTCTTCTTGGTTGAATTATAGTACCTGGCCAATTAGTAAGTACATATTCTACGATTCCAAGAAATCTATTTATTGATAAAATTAAATCAAACTGACATTGCACAGAAAACCATTGACTTGAATCTTTCTTTTGTTTATCACCTTGAATGAACTATTGTTTTATTTCCTTCAAGATGTTCAAATGTGGATCTTCAAGAGAAGAAATACATATTCGACTATGTATAATATCTCGATACATACGTGTGTAGTGAATAAATAACTAGTGATATGCAACAGTATATTAATTTTAGATAATGACAAATAAATAATATCGAGTTTTAAAACTACTAGGCTACTTTTAACTCAAAAGTTCTAAGTTTTGAATAAAATTGAAAGAAAAAAGACTATCCAAAAAAAATTTTAACTTAAAATACTAAATACTATTCTTTCTTTAATAAATAACGTCATTCAACGTTCTCTGACGATCACATCAAGAGGTTTAAATAAATAAATAAATTAATAAAAAAAAAAAAAGACTATCCTAGCTTAAATTAAAAAAAAAAAACTACAAACCTGAGTGCCTTGAGAAATGTGATTTAACTCCGAAATATTTGTTATTGCTTTTTTAATATCGAATGACAGTGTATGTTCTGCAAGGTCCACTCTTATTTTGCTCCAAGGGGTAAGCCAAATATGTCATTTAGTCAATTTAGTAGCTTTTGCTATCTCATATTTGGCTGTATGGTGATATATTTCTTGAAAATGTCACCAGCTGATTTCTCATTCATCAAACATTATTTCTCTTACATTTTTGTTTCCATTATTACTAGTATGACTTTTAGAAACATTATTTCTCAACTTT